CTGTCAGGATGGAGAAATGGAGGAAAAGAGATTATGGCATGACCAGACCTCACTGGGGGTGATTTCTCTCTCTCTGTCTCTGTCTAGGGAACATACACTTCCTCTGGCAATTAAACAAAATCTTTAAGGAGGAAGTCTCCATTGGGTGAGTATATGCCTTGAACATTTCTTTTTTTTTTTTGAGAGATTTTCACTGTAGGGCGCATGCGCTCGCCAGACAGACAGAGAGACATAGAGACAGAAAGCGAGAAATCACCCCCCAGGGGGGATGGTCACACCGCAATCCCTTCTCCTCCATTCTCCTCTCGGGATCTTGGGCACGCACGCACACGCGCCCGGCATGAGTTTTAAGCCACCGGGTCCGGGACACGAACCGTGGTCGACTACGTGGGAGTCCAGCGACATAGCCATTATGCTAACTGCTGGTTCCCAACATTTCTTCAAGAGAGATTTTTGCTATAAGGTACATGTGCTCACTGGAGAGACAGAGAGAGACAGAGAGACAGAAAGCAAGAAATTACCCCCCCTCCCCCGAGGGGATGGCCACTCCACAAGCCCTTCTCCTCCATTCTCCTCTTGGAATCTTGGTTTTGCACGTACACATTCCTGGCGTGAGTTTGAAGCTTCCGGGTCCAGGACTTAAACTGTGGTCGAATATGTGGGAGTCCAGCAACACAAGCATTACACCATCTGCTGGTCCCTGCTAAATATTTCTGTAATACTTGTCAGTTTTTTTTTTTCCTTTCTAAAGAATTACTTATTTTATTCATTATTATTTTTTAAAATTTGCTATGTGGTATGTATGCTCACCAAAGACAGAGAGAGAAAGTGAGAAAGCAAGCTGCCAGGTCTGGGACTCGAAAAGCACTTGGCCATGTGCAAGTCCAGTGTTTTAACCACCACAACACTTGCAGGACCCCAGTTTTCTTTTTTAATAAAGAAAAAGCAGAGTATTCCCTGGGGCATTTCTATCTGGCTGCAACTGAAGAATAGTTTTCTTTTCACCTGTATTTTGGAATCACTTCTTATTGATGGCAAATGACACTAGTTAATTTAATTTAATTTAATTTAATTTAATTTAATTTATTTATTTTTGGAGAGGTTTTTGTTATAGGGTGCATGTACTCACCAGAAAGACAAAGAGAGACAGAGACAGAAAGCAAGAAATCACACCTGTCTCCTCTCTGCCTTAGTATTTCCTTGAAATCCTTCTTCAAATTATTCAGCACTGCCTCTCCTCTCCTCTTCCCACCTCACCAGCTGTCATCCACTCCTTTGTTTCTCTCTCTCTCTCTCTATTTTTTTTAAGAGAGATTTTTTTGCTATAGAGCACGCCCATTCACCAGAGAGACAGAGAGACAGCAAGAAATCACCCTCGGGGTGATGACCACACCACAGTCCCTTCTCCTTCGTTTTCTTCTCGGGACTTAGGGCATTCATGTGCACATGCCCAGTGTGACTTTGAAGCTGTCTGGTCCGGGATTTGAACTGCGGTTGACTATGTGGGAGTTCAGTCAAGTAACCATCACGTCATTTGCTGGTCCCCCTGTGTCTCTTAATATCCAACTGTTTGTTAGTTTTCATTCTACACGTGCAAACTGAAAGCTCCAGGAGATTGGTTCTTCAGAAGCCCAGAATGCCTCGGCCTGGGGCTTTGTCCACCTGTACTTGGCGAATGATGAACTTCTCACCATTCATGCTACTTCTGTGCCCATCATGCAGTGACTGAGTCATCGCTGTCCTCCTTGACCTCTCGTGGTGGCTCCTGGAGTCAGACAACGGGCAGCTGTCACACTGGCTACGGGCCTTAGGCAAGTCCTTTTCTTCTTTTGAGCTTGTTTCATTTGTCAAAAGGAAGAACAGGCCCACATACAGCAGTGTGCTGCATCACCCTGCCATGCTGGAAGCCACTGAAAGGTCGAGGTTCAGTTCCTGGTTGACCTGTATGTGCTGCATGTGCCCATGATCCTGGCTGGCTGTGAGGACTGGGGGAGGAATGCAATCTGAGACCCTGTTGAGGTTGCTTCTCTCTCTCTCTTTTTAAAAGAATGATTTTATTTAACTTTATTATTATTAATATTATTATTATTTAATTTGACCAGAGAGAAAGAGAGAGAAAGTGAGAAAGCAAATTGCCGGGTCCGAGACTCGAACTACATCCAACCGTGTGGGAGTCCAGCGTCTTTAACTACCATGCCACCTGCTGGTCCACTTCTCTCTCTCACTCTCTCTCTCTCAAAGTAAATAAACAAAAACATTTTACATAAACCAGCGAGACCCCCCCAGAACAACAAGAACAATGGCCTCCGAGGGTCATGTGGGGGTTAAATTGTATTCTACAACGTTTGACAGAGAATTGCTCAATGCATGTTCGTGGTGGCATAATTTGGTTTTTGATTCCACCATCATCAAATAACTGCATGAGATCCTGTGATTCAGGTCTCTTAGGTCACATCCCGGGATTTACATAGGACACACTGATTTGGGAAATGACAGTCAATGGTGATCTGGGTTAAACAAACAAGGAAGAAGGGGAATCTCACCAAGCTGGGGTGACAGGTCACCACATTGCATGAAACGTTCACGGTCTTCAAGCAGCCTGTCACCCAGGGTCCCTCCTTTTTCTGGTTCTCACTCTGAGCAATGAGCCTCCACTTGGGATGATGGAGTAAGAAGCTTCTAGTAGCATGGCTCTGGAAACAATCTTTGTAGAGGGGCTAAAGGAAGAAGCCTTCTCAGAAAGCCATTTCTTAGATCATATAGGCTGGCAGAGGCTTGAGCTTGGGGGCCTACTCCCCAGCTCATGAGCTTTGAGTCCTTGGATAAGTTTCGTCACCTCTCTAAACCTCGGTTTCATCATCTCTAAAATGGGGATTTGACTGTTTGTCACCCAAGCAGATGTTGTGTTGCAACTAAAATGGAACCAAACCTGGAGCTCTGGCCACCCACGCTGAGATTTGAGATTAACTGGGGCAAAGGGCTGATGAGGTGGAGGAGCCAAGGACAGAGGAATTTATGGCAGCCCAGGGTTTATGGCTTTGATATGGATTTATTAAGCACAATTTAGGACCGAAATAGCCTCTTCTGGCCCCCACCCCTCATGTCCACGCTGGCAGCAGCACGGACCAGGCCTCCACTGCAGCATTATCAAAAACATTTCCTGGTGCCAACGAGTGGAGGGAAGGCAGCAGTGGCCCCCGGAATCAGACTGGCAGTCACAGGGTGCTCTTGAGACTGGAGGGCTGAATGAATGGTCAGCCTCTCACCAGAAAGAGGGTGTGAAGGGCTCACTTGTGCTCATGTATGGGTAGCTCTCACAGTTACTATGATCTTATTTAACTGAATCCTGACAACATCCTTCAAGGGTGTTATCAGTCCCATTTTACAGATGAGGCTCGGAGAGGTGGTGACCTGCCCAGGGTTGCACTGATCACTAAGACTTGTGACCTCAGACCAGAATTGTTGTCCCCTCCCTTTGGGAAGAGCTACAGAGGTCCCCCTGCTCCACCCTCCATCTTGAGTGTCACCATCCTAAACATCCCAGTCCAGCCATCACTGAACGCTGTGGTGTGCTGGTGAATGTTTCACAGCTGGCTTTCCAGGAAACAAAAGCCCTGATCGTGCTATTGCCAGTTCTTGTGGTGTAAATGCTCCCACCGTGGACAACGTCCAGCTATCAACGTAGCATCCTTGAACATGGAGTTGGGAAGAGACGCAAGCAAGTCCCCAGCGAACGCGAGGTCTGTGGCAGCCAAGACGCAGGCCATCTATGTAGTTTAGGAGGAGAAAGGTCCAAAGTGGCTGGACACCTGCTTGGGCAACCTCAGATGCACCCCTTGCTTTTATTATTTTTCATCAACTACCCTTGCTTTTGTGAAATGTCCCCCGTCTACTCATCTCTAATGCTGGCAGATTAGGTGACCCTGGAAAAGGTTCCATTCTGGACTCTAATGGCAGATGACAGGCTCTTGGACTCTCTTGCCATTCTTCCAGATCGTTCCATCACCTCTCCTTCATTTCTCCTCTCTTCAGGAGGGAGGATCAACTTTCACTCTCTCCACATATGGGTTCTTGGAGTCAAAAGACTAGAGTTAGATTTCCACCTGATTTCTCAAGGCAGATCACTTTCCCTGGCCTGTCTCCTCATCTGTAAGTGGGAGGTAATCATAATGTCTAACCGACTAACTTCTTTTCTTTTTTTATTGCCAGAGGGAGAGGCAAGTACCGTGTCATCTCTAGACAGTAACCTCTTTCTCCCCTGCCCCATGCATACATACAGATGCTCTATCATGAACAAAGGAAAAAATTCAAAATGGATATTATAATATCCTGGGACTAGCAGATGGCATAATGGTTACATTGCTGGATTCCCACATGGTTGACCATGGTTTGAGTCCTGGACCCAGCTGCTTAACACTCACGCCGGGCTCATGTGCATGCGTGCCCAAAATCCCAAGAGGAAAAGGGATTGTGGTGTGTCCATCCCCACTGTGTGTGTGTGTGTGGGGGGGGGTGATTTCTTGCTTTCTGTCTGTCTCTCCAGCGAGCACACACACCCTATAGCAAAAATCTCTCTCTCTGAAAAAGAAAGAGAGAAAGAACGAAAGAAAGAAGCAAGCAAGCAAGCAAGCAAGCAAGCGGACCAGTCTGTTGCATGGTGGTAAAGGCAGCGATCCCACATGGTTTGTGTTCTGGACCCAGAGGCTTGAAAATCATGTTGGGCACATGTGTGTGGAATCCTGGAAGGAGGGAGAAATGGAGGAGAAGGGACTGTGGTGTGACCATCCCTCACAGGGTGATTCCTTACTTTATCTCTGTCTGCCTGTCTCTGTCTCTCTGTGTCTGCCTCCAGTGAACACATACACCCTCTGGCAAAATTTAAAACATATAAAAAGATATGAAAGCATTCTGTGCACCATAGAGAACTGTAAGAACTTCTTCATTCTTATTTCTAATATCTTAAAAAGAAAAAAAAAAAAGGAAAGACACCCATCCAAGGATGTAGAAAACATACGTGCCATTTATTTTGTTTTATAAACCTTTGTTAAAACATACAAGAGTAATAAATGTTTTTTGCTTCTTTGGCCCATCGGGCGGCAGTGACAAGGGCTCAGGGGTCAGCGCAGGACCTAATGACATTCATACCCACAGGAAGATGTGGATTGGTCAGATGGGACCCAGCCCACTTCCGGAACTGCTTGATGTGAATTTCACAGTTCGTTTTAGTCAAGGCAGATCACTGAAAAATTTGGCAAAAGCAGTTGTCTTGGTCACCACGAGAAGTCGAGGAGCATCCATTTCTGACTCTCTCCCGTCCTCTGTCCACTCTCAGGAGAGTCACGTGGGTTCAGGAAGTTCCTGAGAGCTGCCTGAAGAAAGGGGTGTCTTGGTGGAGGAATTACGGTACCCACGCTTGCCCTCAACAGCCCTTTTTTAGTCCAACAGATTTTATGTTTTAGGATCACAACTCAGGTAGCCAAAAAACAAAAGAAAAAAGAAAAGATGGATTTCCAATGTTGTCCTCAGCTTAGAATCAGAAAAGTAAACCTTTTTTGTTTTATATTTTCTCCATTGCAATGAGTTATTAAAGTGGAATGGATTTCTCCTCCAGAAAGGGTAAACTTGGAGCAGAGGACACATACCTTGACCCAAAAATGGCCATTGTCACCTCATTCCACTCCATAGAGTCTCATCTTAACTTTGCTCCCGGGACAAGAGGCCTGAGTAAGACTGGACGGTGGAAGAACAGAGCAGGAATAACCACCATAAGCAGGAAGACATCAGCTTCCCTACCTTGCCACAGACCAGGTTGAGCCCCCCTGGCTGGGCTTTCTGGGGCCCTGGAGTGAGGGTAGCTGAGGGAGGCTTGAGAACTTGGGGCGGAAAGCAATCTCTGCTGGGATGGGGGCCTTGGTCTGGTGGAGTGGGGAAGGCTGATCATGATGGCACTGGAGAAAAGGGGCTCTCTCGGACAAGCCACCCTAAACCCTTCCCATGCCTCTTCTACAAAAGGGACAATCACTAATGGTAGAATAATGGTCACTGCTTCTGCTCCCATTCACTCAGAAAGGTCACCCTGGGGTGGAGGATAGCCCATCAGCTGACTCTCCTACCTAATCACACTCTGGCCCTGGGACAATCAACCTTTTATTCCCCCTGGCCAGTGGCACTTTCCAGAACCTCCCCACAGTCACCAAGATTCTTCATGGATGGCTGCTCCATCCTGGGGCTTAATATTTCCAAAATGCACCTGAATGACATTCCTCAGAGCAGGCCTCAGGTCTTCTTACTCCTCCCCTACCTCTCACTTGCACTGTTCCGCCCCAGAGGGCCAGGCCACAGTGATCTGTCTCCCAGGAGCAAGATCCCTGCTCCCCAGACTTGGGAAGTGAAGAGAAAAGGGATCAGGAGTCATAATCATGAATTCTCCAGAAAATTTCTCAGCAGATAGGATCTGGACCCCAAGTGGCTTTCAGTGCAGCCTCAGGCTGATTGTAGACCTGGATGTGGGTAGGGTTTCTGGAAGGAGAAAGCCTTTAGTTTCTGAGGCTGATGAAGGGGGAAATCCCTCAACTCAATCACAGTGAGGTCCTATTCTGATCCAGGGAGATCAAAGTTCAAGTCCTGACTCAGCCACATGCTAGCTGTATGATTTCAGGAAGAACAATTCGCTCAACTCTACTTGGGGCTTCTGTAACAATCTCTAGGTGAAGGGGAGGGTGCAATCAGACAATGCATGTCCAATGCCTTAAGGCAGCGCCAGGGAGTAAGTGAGGAAGAACTTGAGACAAGCCCTGGGGAAAAGTCCTCCTTAATAGCACCCTGATCTGAGAACTCACCCATTCCCCCTCTCCATCGCCAAGCCTCTGCACTCCCCACTGATCTGCCCTCATCTCACCTCCCTGTTGCCCCCCAACTTCCAGCCTCTGGAGGAGTGCTGTGTTTAGTTTCCGAAAGCCCAGCTCCCTTCGTGTCCCTCTCAGTCACTCATGACCTTGGATTGGCCCTCAAGGCCCCATGCTCTCCAGGACTCCTGCTTGGCTCCAGAGAGCCCAAACTTTTCATGGCTTCTCTCAACACCATTCTTCCTACCACCAGGCCTTGGCCCAGGCTGTTCTGTTTGGAATGTGCTGTCTTCCTGTTCCACCAGCTGGAATCCCACCCTTCCTCAAAGGCCTAATGCAGTCTGCCTCTTTCCAGATGCCTTCTCTGCCCATTCCAGCCCTTCCTCCAAGTTCCTGTGGCATTTGTCAGTCTCACTGCTGAAAGCCTGTAGGGACTGTCACCCTGAAAATGCATCCAAGTTCTCTGAAGTAGGGGAGGACAGTGAGGTTGGAGGAAGAAGACTGATGTCTTCTCAGCAGTCTCTGACATGTGGACTGGCCCCAGCTGGTGCTAATAAAATGTTTCTGTAATGACTAGGGGAGTTGTTTCTAAGTCATCCTCAGCCTCTGGTGAAGTGGTTTCGAGGAAAAGAAGATGGCTAAGCAAGGGGACAGTGGAAGGTGCAGAGGGGCCTCTGAGGCTGAGACAGCAGAAAGGGGAGGAGGAAGGTGTTGCAATCTCACCCAGCTCAAGGGTTCTGTATCTGGACACCAGCCCAGTACTGAGAGAGGAGAAGTACCGGCTTGAGGGAGAGGCAAGTCCCGTGTCATCTCCAGACAGTCGTCCTTTGGGGGTAAAAAAGTTGGAAAATATGGAAGAAGGTGAAGGCAGTGGCTTCCACAGGGAAAAGTTATCCAGGAAAGCAGAAGACTTTCCAGCTGGGTTCTCCCCAAGTCAAAGTTCCGATATCCAGAGCAGAGCAGGGGCCGAGGGTGGCAATGGGATGTGACCTTCAGCACACATGCTTGGACGCTTCGCTCTTTCCATTACTGCTCTGGCACCAGCCCTGTTGTCACGCCTTCCTTTGTGGTGACCAGGTGATCACCAGGTGCTCTTGAAGGGGGCTTGGGGGAGCCAGCAGAGTCCCCGACCCCCAGCGGCTTGCTAGATGACTTCTTGCTTGGTGATAGTCGGCTGGGGGATGGCAGAAGGGGGCTTGACAATTGTGGTGATGGCTCCTGGCAGGAGCTTGTAGGGTTCAGACCCTGAGCCACCTGGTGGTGAGGGCTGCGGAGTCTCAGGGGTAGCTGGAAGAACAAAGAGACAGATGGAGGCTTCTCACAATTCCAGCCTTTTGGGGATTAAATAGAGCCCTGGGAAACTTCTTTCTCCTTTCTGAGACTTAGTTTCTCTTATAAAATGGGAGAACTAAATGAGATGATTTCTGTCTCCTATGGCTCAAACTTCCTGAGTCTTAGATCATAAAGAAAGCTGATCAAGGAGTTACAGAAAGTCCTACCACCCCATCACCTACTCTGCCATCTGCTATGGAGATGGACTGCTTCTTCCAGAGCAGAGCCCAGGTCTGACTCGCCCCTAGGGCAATGGGATGTGTGACAGGGATAACCATTCTTGGGAGAAGGAACAGCAGTTGAAGAGACCCAAGGCTATTGGGCTGAAAAAATACCATTTCTTTGATATTTAGAAAATTAGTAACAGAAACTAGATGCCGACACCTCTATGACAAAGTTGGAGAGCAACTTTGACTACTTGGCCAACTCCATTCACTGAATGACTTTCCTAAAGAATGATCTCAGTGAAATGCCATCTCATCTCAGTGGAGTACCTCATTCCATTGATAATCTCATTCTTTAAGCGTTTCACCCAGTGACAAACTCACTCTCTGGAGATTTTATCTCAGGATGATCTAGCCCTGTGGTTGTCCAATAGTCTTACCCAGTTGAGCAACCTTACTTTAATAAACACTGATGGTCCATGCCACCTAGTGAAATCCTCACCCAATGGGCATCCTCACCCCCATGGCCAACCTCATCCAGTGAACTGCCTCATCTCAAGGTCAACTTCATTTAGTAGGGGCTTTCAATCATCTCACTGAATACAACAGCTTCACGGGGTAAGCAGCTTTGTTTAACAGATGGATAACTTCGCCCCTGATTTCGCCCCCCCCCCGCCCCGACAC